GGATTGATGGCTTTGGAAGCACAACTCAAAAGACAAATATACAGTGAGTTCGGTATACTAGTCCTGAACCAGAATCAAAATGCAAGGAGGGAGAATCACTTAAGCTCGTTTCGGATAATAAGTTACCATTGAGGGTCTTCGCATGTGCTCGGAAAGTGCTACAAAACAGGATTCCAAGTAATGAAAACCCGCTCAAGAGAGAGCTCATTGTGGACAAAGGTGCAGCGAAAAATGTGAATTTTGTGGGCTGCACATGGAGAGCTCGGACCACTTGCTATTTTTGTGCAAAACTTCTTGGACCATTTGGACTTGATATTATAAATGGTGGGGGATTAAAGGTGATTGCACAGGGTGGTACGTGGAAACATTCGTTACAACACATTGGCCTTGTTCCAACAGGACTTATAAGGGATTCTTGGACAATTTTTTTTTTTTTTTTGAAAGCCAGGGATTCTTGGACAATAGTAAGGTTCACCGTAATCTAGTCTTTATGGCCATGGAGGAATTAGTTGAATTTAGAGAAGAACCTATAATGGAAGGTAAGGTAATTGAATTAATCAAATTTAGATCTTTTCATTGGATTAAAGCAAAAGTATGGCCTCATCTATCTCGAGGAATGGTACAAGACCCCCCAGGGAAGTATGTAAGATTACACTGTCCTCAATTGAGTGGTTTGGTTGGATTGTTGTCATTTTGTTTGAATTGAGTTGGTTTTGTTAATTTGTTGTCATTTTGTTTACAAGTTCTTGATTATGATTTCTTTGGTTTGAGTTTGTAGAAATTTTAGTCATTTGTCCTATAGTGATGGTAGTCCGAGGTCACGTACTTTGGTAGTTCGAGGTCACGCACCTCAAATGATCTAAGTTATTCCCGACAACTTTTAGCTTAACTTTGTTTGAAGCGCAATGAACTTAGTTGAGTTCGAGCTCGTTCCCTCTGCTCTCGCTTTATAGTAGTTTTGTATGTTCATAGATTTCTTATGAAAGATTTCTGCAATGATTCACACACATGACCCCAGTTTTCTGCAAAGATGAACACATGGATACTTCTTTAAAGGCTATAAATACCCTCAAGGGTCTTCCTAAAAGGTAATTGAAAACTGATCTCAAGCTTAGCTTTTGTTTCATATCTAATAGATCCAATTATTGCTAATTTAGGTATCGGAGTGTTTATCTCGAGATCTAACCTCGGGGCTTTGCAGGTTAGCTGAAGTGAAAACCTAAGTTTGGGAGCACTTTGAAGTTCTTTGCAACATGTCCTTTTCTTTTTCCTGAGGTTCATAGAGTTGTTCTTCCATGTAACGTGATTTCGAAGTATGTCCTTAATAAAATTAGTTTTTTCACTGATAAAAAAAAAAGAAAAAAAAAAGAAGAGAAAAACCACAGAGCCCTCATTGGGGGTTTGCTCACGAGAGCACCATGCTGTAATGGCCGTTTTCTCCTCTCTAACTCTCTTGGGCGGATGGAAAATATCGTGCAAGGAGGATCGGTTTTTGACCGAACCGAACCAGAAAAACAGGTGAAAAATTAACTAAACATAAGAAATAGCATTACATTTCATGTACGGCATTGATTTTTAAAATTTGAAATCTAAAAAATGGTTAACTAACATTTTAATTTCAATTACAACCAAACTTAAAACATGCCCAACCTAATAGCCACCAACCTCTCATTAAGGATTTTTCATGTAAGAGTTTTTCGTGTAAGAGTTTGAAGCTGTGATTTGAATTTCACTCTTTAACATTCAAAAATAAAAAATCATTCCTACCCTTACCCGCATTTTCACTAACTGAGGGCGAGTACACAGTCATCATTTCCCTTGCACTAAAGAAGATTTTTTCAGAGATGTTTCTTGGCTTGCACTTGCACTATTTTGGGGCAACTAGCACCCAAACGGCACCA